GGAGACAGTGCGATTGGCACAGGACAGAGCAGAGTTTAGGGCTGTTGTACATAGGGTCGCTATGAGTCGCAAGCAACTCGACGGCACATAACAACAATACCACATTAATTTTAAGAAAACAAACCAAAATGTCATACAAATGCTTAGCTAATATATTAAAAATCTTAAACCAGGGAGGTGGGAGCCACTAAACAGAGCCAAGCGTAGCTAAAATAGACAATGAAGGAAAAAATGAAGCCAGTGTAATCACGCTAAATCCACAGATACATGGCGAATTCTAACAGAAGATTTCATTGGCATTTTTATACATTTTGTTTGCATTTGCACATAATGTTGCTGAGTAAATAATAACCAATGTGACGCAGGTGACGAAAATGCTACTGTTCTGTGTTGAGTTAGAACCAACTCACAGTTGACCCTCCAGTGGGTTTTCAGAGGCTGTAAAATCACAGAATTATGAAACCTTTCTTCTATGTCTAATATCTCATACAGACAAACGCCTGCCCCATCTGTTCACAGCCCTGTGGAAGGCTCAGAAAGAATATGCCCACGTCAGCTTGGTCATTGCGGGGTAAAGAGCTGGGTGTACAGAGCCTAACTGATTGAATGGAGCATAAGCCCTTTTCTTGTTGGTGCAGTGACTCTGTGTGTCCCCTCCGTCTTCTTTTGATGCGTCCTGGATCATTTAATATTTTGCTCAGAGCATTCTTCAGGATTGCACCTCAAGGCTTGCATTTAGTTCTCTGTTGTTTTAGCTCGAGAATGCCAAGCGAGTTCGTCCCTTTTTTATTCTCTGACTCGAGCTTTTTACACATTTTGTTATAACACTTTTTGTGTTATAACACATTTTGTTATGTAACACTTTGTTTTTACTTCTTGAGCTTCCCTTTGAAATCTTCTGTTCATCTCTTTTAGTTTGACATTTCTTCCCTTTGTTTTGGCTTCTTGATGTTTTAGTGCAGTTTTCATTGTCTCTTCTCACATCCATTTTCGTCTTTTCTTTCTCTTCTGTCTTTGTACTGAACATTTGCTTTCTTTGTGGATGATATCCTTGATGTCATTCCACAGCTCACCTGGTCTCAATCCACAGTGTTCAATGCCTCAAACCTATTCTTGAGATGATTTCTAAATTCAGATGGTATAGGCTCAAGGTGGTATTTTAGTTCTTATGTTTTAATCTTCTTCAGCTTCTAACTGATGGTCTGTTCCACAGTTAGTATCTGGCATGGTTTTGACTGCTATTACTGAGTTTCTCTATCAATTCTTCCCACAGCTGTTCTGATTCCTATGTAGTTACTATGTGTGTACAGTTTCTGTGTTTTTTAAAAAAAGGAATTTGCAATGAATTAATAATTTATTGGAAAAAACTCAGTCATTTCATATCTAGCCTCATTTCTGTCACCAAGTCCATAATTTCCAACTACCAATCCTCCTTCTTGGTTTCTAATTTTTTCATTCTAGTTATCAATTATTATTAATGGAACTTGATTTCATGTTCAAACAACTTCACACTACAAAAGCTGGTAGAAACCTTCAATTACCTCATCTTTTCTTTATTTATTGGTGTGTATATTTGAATAATCATTATATTAACAGGCCTTCCATGTTAGCATGTGGATAGAATCTTAGCACACACAGCACTGAACTTCAGGATGAATTTTCAAATGGCCTTTGACTATGAGTACACCATTCTTCCTCAAATTTCATTGCTAGCATAACAGATAATACAACTGTCTGATTCAAAGTGGCCAATACCAGTCCACCTCCACTCACTGATACCTATAAATATCGATATTTTTTATTACGTCCTATTTTCCTAGGGTCATATTTTGTGAATTCCATGTTCCAACTATTCATAGATATCAACGCTTTTTATCCTTATTTTTTAGTGTCTTCCAATCTCAGAGCTCTACCTCCATGCTATATCTAACAGGGCTCCTTTATGGTCCATAGGCTTCCTATGTTATATCAGAAGAGGACTGCTAATCACAACAAACTATAGCTAGGTGAGAATCCTAGAACACTGAATTTTTAAGCATCGTATTAGTAAAATTCAGGACTTTTGTTTAAATTCTAGCACAAGATAAGATGAAATGAAGTCTGAAGTTTTACACTCCACCTGAGTTTGAACTTCCACTACTGGTTAACCTCCCTCTGAGAAGATTCAGCGTCCTGTTGTTTGAGCTTCAGCTGTCACTGCTAGTCAACTTCTCTGTAATGAGATTTAGCATCTTGTTTGCCTCCTAATCACTATATACATGTTTAACTACTCTGTGCCTGCTACTCCTGTATGGTAGACAAGCTGGTGTTGCAAGTAGTTTGTGTGTGGCTATTGGAACCCCAACCTTAGACTATGATTTCATATCCTGGGCAAATGTTACGGCTTGGAAAAGGAAGGGAGAATCTACACTGAGATGATAAGTACCACTTTTATCCAAAAAAAGCAAACCGATGCCCTGAAGAAGAAACTCTGGCAAGAGAGACAGTAATGTGGCACACAAGTTAGTACCGGACACTGTGGAAACCTGGGCTGTCTCTAGAAATTGTTTCTTAGTAATATGTGAACTGTCCTTCCTGGATGAAAAGCCTTGTGACTCGGAATGCAGGATGATAATATGTCAAGAAGATTAGCAGGTGACTGAGGTATAAAACCTCTGACCACATAGAGAAAGGAAAAGCAATCTCACTGCCTTCCAGATATGTAACGAAAGTGCATGTAAAAGTAACTTTTTCCAAATTGGTCCTGCTGATGGCAAGAACCAGTTGTTTATCCATTTACACCTGTGCCCATGTGAAGCCTACACCTCGACCAAGAAACTGTTGTCTGAACAGAGCAAGGGAACACTGTGTAGTTTAAAATCAAGAAGACATGTGCCAGGGCTCTGTCTTTTCTCCCTAACTATTTTATCTGCATGCTGAGCAAATCATTCAAGAAGCTGGACTTTATGAAAAAGAATGTGACATCAGGTTTGCAGAAGGATTCATTAATATCCTGTATTATGCATATAACATTACCTTGTTTGCAGAAAGTGAGGAAGACTTGAAGTGTATGTTTTCAATACAGATTACATCTCAACATCAAGAAAACAAAGATTCTCATCACAGACCAATAGGCAACATCATAATATAAAAAAATTAAAATTGTCAATGATTTCATCTGACTTCGATCCACAACAACTCCCTTGGTACCAACAATCAAGAAATCAAAGAGACAAGCTGTATTAGGAAAATCTGCTCTCAAGGACATCTCCAAAGTGCTACAGAGCAATGATATCAGTTTAAAGACTAAGGTGCACTTAACCAGGCCTTGGACTCAGATGCACTTGGTCTTTGCAACCACTTGCTATGCATCTGAAAGCTGGACAATGAATAAAGAGGACAGAAGAAGAATTTGAGCTGTGGTATCAGTGAAGTGTACTGACTATACCATGGACTTTCAGGGAATAAACAAATGTGTCTTGGAGAAAGTGCAATCATGGTTCTCCTTGGAAGCTAGAACAGGGAAACTTGTCTCACCTAAGTTGGGCATGTTATCACCAGAGGCTAGGCTTACACCTCTGAAACAGTTTGCCTCTGGAGACTCTATGAACTTAGAGAAACAATGAAAGTTATACAGTGTTCAGATCTTTCACACAAAGGGTCACTATGAGTCTATGACTTGACAGCACTTAACAACAACAACATTCCTGGAAGAAGGACATCATGTAGGAAAAGGTGGAGAGTGAGTGTAAGAGAAGATCTTCAACAAGACTGACACAGTGACTGTAGCAATGGGCTAAAGAATACCAGACACGATGAGGACGGGGCAGGGCAGGGTACCGACTAGTTCTTCAGGGGATCATTGTATTCCTTTCTTGTTTCTGAAATAAAATACTTTTCCAAGTGTTCATTTCCTCGTCAAGATACTGCACAAGTCTACCACTGGCTAAAGCCCATCTAATGAAAGCCACTGCATAAATTCTTGTAACACAATTTCAGACTTCACCTTTGTCTTGTAATGTAAGGCTCTTCAGCACTGTCATAAACTCCAACTTTGTCTTGTAGTTTAAAGCTCTTCAGCTCTGTCAAACTATGCAGCGATATGCTTGTACCTATCAATTTAAAAAAAACAAACAAAACAACAAAAACAAAATCCATTTACCTGTAGATGTTGAAACTTAAGCAAGCCACAGCCGAAAGCCAGCAAAGGCATATTGTGTAAGGTGTGAATAAGGGAGGCCAAGGTCACCCAGGAGGTCCCAGGGTGGAGCTCCATCAGTTCCGACTCGCTCACACCGTTGTGACTGACGTTGACAAGGCAGAGAATCTAAGAGAAGAGACAGCTGGTCAGGGGTAATGAAGCAGGTCCATCTGTAACTGACAGACACTAAAAACGGCACAGTAATTCCTTTAGACTTTTTAGCTTATTCTTTATCAATCCTTTCCTGCGCTGTCCCTCCACCCTCCCAAGAATGATGTCCCTCTCCAAGGACTGATTCTGCCTTGCAATATGTCTAAAGTATGTCAGACAAAGCTTGAGAATCCTTGCCTCCAAGGAGCAGCCTGGCTTCACCTTCTCTAGTATGAATCTGTTTGTTCTCCTAGCAGTCCATAGTATATTCAATACTCTTCTCCAACACCACAGCTCAAAGGTATCAATTCTTCTCCTATCATGCCTAGTCATTGTCCAGCTTTCTGAAACTGCAAAGACCATGGCCTTAACAAACGATCTGTCAAACTCAGAAGCAGATTTCATATAACTTTCTAAAAGGTATTAATCAACAGAGCACATGAAAACATACAATCTAGCACAACACAGAAAAGACACCCAGAGAAGAAATTTCAGTGAAAATTAAAGCTGGATTATTAAACAAGAGTTGCAGATTCTGGGAAGACAGACAGTAGGCTAGCCCTCTTGCTATAGATACTATTATCATAAGATAACATGTAATAAAACATTTCAAAGGCACAGTTGAGCTTGCAAAAAAGGAGGGAACCCCATAGACAGGAGCAGGACCTGGCCATGGGGAGCTCAGAGCAGGGGTGGGGAGCTCAGGGCAGGAGTGGTGGCTCAGGGCAGAGGTGGGAGCTCAGGGTGGCGGGTTAAGGGGAGCTCAAGGCCGGGGTGAGAGCTCAGGGTGATGGGTTTGTGGAACTCAGGGTGGGAAGCTCAGGGCAGGGGTGGGAGCTCAGAGTGGTGGGGTTGGGGAGCTCAGGGCAGGGGTGGGAGCTCAGGGCAGG